TGTGAAGACTTTGTAGCCACATTAAAAAAATGCTTAAGGCCGGGTGTGGTGGCTCATGCCTGTAATTCTAGTACTCTGGGAGGCCAAGAGGCAGTAGGATTGCTTGAGCCCAGGAGTTTGAGGTTGCTGTGAGCACTCTAGCCCAGGCAACAGGGTGAGACTCTGTCTCAAAAAAAAATTGCTTAAGCTGTAATTTTAAATGAAGACTGCAAAAGACTAAATGAAGTTAGCTAGATTAAAAACGTGCAGACAGGCTGGGCATCATGGCTCACACCTGTAACCCTAGCACTTTGGGAGGCCTAGGCAGCAGGATTGCTTAAGGCTAGCAGTTCAAGATCAACCTGAGCAACACGGGTGGACCCTGCCTCTACAAAAAAATTTTTAAAAAATTAGCTAGGCATGGTGGTGTGTGCCTGCAGTCCCAGCTACCTGCAAGGCTGACGAGGAAGCATGCTTGAGCCCAGGAGTTTAAGGTTGCAGTGAGCTTGTGATGATGATGCCACTGTACTCCAGCCTGGGCAATAGAGTGAGACCCGGTTTCAAAATAAATAAATAAATAAATGTAGAGAGAAAAATAACTAGAAAAAAATACCATAATTTTAAGAGTGGGTATTTCTTGGCATTGGGACAATGAATCCCAACAAACGGTTTCTTCCCCTAAATTTCAGTATTTCTGAAGTTTTACACAATGAACACTTTGTGATCTGAAAACTTTCCCCCCCATTCAACAGCTGGTTAAGAATCTTGTACTAGTTATTTATTGCTGCGCAATACATTATTCCCAAACCTAGAGACTTAATAAAGTACACACTTACCATTTCAGTTTCTGTGAATCACGAGTCTGGGAAGAGTTTGGTGGGTGGTTCTGGCTCAGGGTCTCTCATGTGGGCAGTTTAGATGGTTGGGCCAGGGCTGCACTGATCTGAAGGCTCGACTGGGGCTTGAGAATCTGATTCCAAGATGGATCACTCACATGGCTGTTGGCAGGAGGCTTCTGTTCCTTGCCACATGGGCCTTTCCATCAGGCTGCCTGATTGTCCTCACAACATGGCAGCTGACTTCCCCCAGAATAAATAATACAAGCGAGACAACAAGGAGGTAACCATAAAGCCCTTTATGTCCTAATCTTAGATGTCACATATTATCACTTCTGCCACATTCTTCTAGTTAGAGACAAGTCACTAAGTACTGTTCACACTTAACTGGGGGAGGGGAGGAGGAATCAGTCTCTTCTTTTTGAAGGGAGGAGTAAGAAAGAAGTTGAGGACGTATTTTTGAAACACAACAAAGCGTATGGCTGATCTTTCCCCCTCTAAATTTCCCTCCTCTGATCCAGCCACAACACATAGAACTCCTTAATGTTCCTAAAACACAACTCTGATCACATTACCCTGCAAATAAGAAACCTTCCCTGGCTACCCAGAGAACGGGGAATTCCTTAATTGGTTTCTAAGGTCCAGCTACTACATTGCCCCCCGCCCCCACCAGCTCCAGCTCATCCTGTTCCTCATGTACACTCCACACTCTACGGTCTTGGAGCCTTTCCATGCCCTAAATATCTCTTTTTTTTTTTTTTGAGACAGAGTCTCACTTTGTTGCCCTGGCTAGAGTGAGTGCCATGGCGTCAGCCTAGCTCACAGCAACCTCAGACTCCTGGGCTCAAGCAATCCTACTGCCTCAGCCTCCCAAGTAGCTGGGACTACAGGCATGCACCACCATGCCCGGCAAATTTTTTTTCTATATATTTTTAGCTGTCCAATAAATTTCTTTCTATTTTTGGTAGAGACGGGGTCTCGCTCTTGCTCAGGCTGGTCTTGAACTCCTGAGCTCAAACAATCCACCCGCCTCGGCCTCCCAGAGTGCTAGGATTACAGGCGTGAGCCACCAGGCCCGGCCCCTAAATATCTCTTAATTCCTTACCCTCACCTCTTTCCCCTCTCCAGCCCTGTGCACTTGCCTTTCCTCTGCTTGGAATGTTCTTCCCCCAGATCTTAGCATGGATGGCTCCTTATGATGGAGGTCTAAACCCGCCCCCAATCTCTATCATCCCCCCTGTCCCAGTTACTTCCTCTCAATTACCTTGTTTTCCTATAGCCATAACTACTATTTGAAATTATCTTATTTGTTTACCTGCTCTTTGCTGTTGCCTCCAAAGTGCTTCTTAAGAACAAAGGCCACTGTCTTGTTCATGGCAGTAACCCAGTGGCCCTAGATCCAAGTTCACTGCAGGGCACATATTTGGTATTCAAAAAATCGTTGAATTAAATGTCTTCTTTTCCAGGGAGTTGTTTTACAAAGAATCTCACACCACATAAATGTCTAAGGAAGAAAAGGGGAAAAAAAAAAAACAGTGAAGATGTTATCTCCCTCAGCTGAACTCCCATGCCATCTTGTCATTAATATGTCCTGGTGACTACAGGGGCCCAGATTCTGCCAGACTTTAACCATCTCTAGCTCCCAGAGTCCATTACAGGGCCTAGGTAATGCTAAATATTAACAATTGTTTATTAATGAATGCATGCATGTATGGAAGAAGGGAGGGAGGAGTAGTGAATAATGAATGTATTATTTTCCCTGCTGAGAATAAAGACTGAAACCCTAGTCCAAATCAATCTGGCATTAAGGTTAGGAACTATTCAGATACACTGGAATAGTAAGAACAACAGCAGGAATAGCTAGAGGGGGAAGGATAGACTTTTAAAAGGCTGTAAGCACTGAAATGATGGTGGTGCTCACCATACATCATTTAAAATAAAATGAATATTAAATGGGAAAAGTGTAAAGGTGTTAGAAGTTTCAAGAGAGCTTTTATTTTACCTATGATCACTACTTTGATACCTTTTCTGAAGTTAAAGCCATCCTCTCTTGCCAATTTTTTTTTCATTATGTTGCTGTCTCCGCGTTGCTGTGACCTGTATAACTACCAAGAAATCCAGTCCCAAATGACTTTTATTGAACATTCACCAGTTTATCAGGGATGTGTTTACATCCGTTATCCTGTTTAATCTGTAGAACCATATGTGGCAGAAACTGCATTATCCCCATTTTAAGGATAAGCAGAAGGAGGCACTAGGCTATGAACACAGGAAATTTGACTCCATCGGGCAAAAAACTGCCCAAGCTGAAGCTGTGAAGGTTTCATACCTAGGGATTTCCAGAATTTGGCCTCCAGCTAGGCAGAGGGACCATTTGGGCGGGAGCAGAGCTTTCTCCTTCCAAGGGCCTTGGGCCTTTAAGAGTCGCCCCCTCCCACCAGGGATGCTCCAGTTACCACCCCACCCGCGGTCCCCCGCGCCGCGGAGCCGCACCCCAGCCCTTCTTCCCCGCCCCACACGCCCAGGCTCGGTTCTCCGCCTTCGCCCGCCCAGAAGTGGGTGAGCTCAACCGCCGGAGGTGCGTTCCCCGCGCCCCTACGTCCCAGCGGAATGCTACCTTCGAGACCCTGATCTCGACCCCTCCCAGCTCCTGCTTCCCAGGGGCGAGCCCTCAGCGCCCCCTGCCATCGCCCCTGCTCACGACGCCGTGAAGGTGACCTCCCCCGGGGCCGGCACACGCCGGGTGGTGAGCTAACTGACTCACACGTGGTGAGCGGGGAGCGCGCCGCCCCTCCCCGCCACGCGCCTGGTGCCTGCACCCCGGCCACGCCCCCAGGGCTGGCTCCGCCCCGCACCCCTGCGCGCTTCTCCCCGCCAGGGAGGAAGGACGCGCCCAAGGCGGGCACAGAGCTAGCTGCGGAGCGGCGTGAGACCCGGGGATAGGGCACTCACGCATCCTCGAATCTCGCCCGAGATTTGTGAAAAGTGGCCAGTCCGCCCTGCTGAGGACCCTTGCCTGGTGCCCCGGCCCCTCAGTGCGCTGAGCAGGAGAGAGCAGGGCCCGCGAGCCTCGGACTCGAGTCCTAGTCTGCGTGTCTTCGGTGTTTTCGTATTTGGAAAGTGGGCGTCATCGTCCTTTCTTTCTCAGGATTCCTGTGGCGCCTCACACGAGATTAAAACAAGAAAGAAAGAAAAAGGGGGTTCGTTCGTTGGGTCCAAAAGCATTTGAGCCCCTATGTGGCTGGACCCTGTGTGCAGTGCAGCAGGCGGGGGCAACATCTATGACAACGTGAGTCCGTCCCTTTAAGCTTTCCTGAGTCTTAGTCCCCCCCCCAAATTCTCTTCTGGGACGGTGCGAAAAGGCGTCCTCCAAAGAGGAGAGGTCGGAAATCCTACCTGGCGGCAGGTGTCACGGAATAAGCTAAAATTTCAAAGGCAAATTGGAGCGGGGACAAGCCTCGAGAGCCAGATGGAAAGCACGCTTGGCGTCCCCCACCCTCCCTTCAGCCCCCTGCCTAAGAAAAGAAACCGATCTCATCCGTCTCCCCCAATCGCAGCCCGCAGACCGCTCAACCCCGCAGCCCGAGCCCCGCCCAGCTCCGGCGGCCAGCGATTGGGAGATGCAAATATCGGGTTCTCTGCCCAGCAACGGGTGACGCGCCGCCCGGGCGCGGGGCGTGGCCCGGCCGCAGCCCAAGCGGGCACCTCGGTGTTTACACGGGGCGGCCCCGCGCGCGCCGCAGCGGCCCGCAGACGGCGAGGGGGAGGGGTGGAGCGCGCGCCGGCGGGGCCGCGCGGGGAGAAAGACACTGAAAGGCGTCGGCGGCGGGGCGGGGAGCGGCGCGCGCGGGCCGCGGCGGAGCCGGAGGCTGCAAGAAGAGCCCGCGGGGGCCTGAGGGGGTGCGATTCCTCCGCCCCCGCAAAACAATGTGCGGTGTGCTCCGGGGCGCAACTTGCCGGAGGCGGCGGGGGCGCGCCGAGCCCGCCTGAGACCGCGCCGCTGACCTTCTCCCCCCGCCGTCCGTTGGGCCTGAGCGCCCAGCTCCTTGCTCCCCAGCTCGCGGGGGCCGGGCCGAGCCGTGGGGCGGGGCCGCTCCTCCGTCGCCGCTGCCTCCTCCCCCACCCCCAGCCGCGGAGGATGCGGACGGCCCCCGGCGGCGTCTAGCGGCCCCGGGCCCAGGCGCGATGGTGCAGCAGCGGGGCGCGAGGGCCAAACGGGACGGCGGGCCGCCGCCCCCCGGGCCCGGGCCGGCCGAGGATGGGGCGCGCGAGCCCGGTTGGTGCAAGACCCCGAGCGGCCACATCAAGAGGCCGATGAACGCGTTCATGGTGTGGTCGCAGCACGAGCGGCGGAAGATCATGGACCAGTGGCCCGACATGCATAACGCCGAGATCTCCAAGCGCCTGGGCCGCCGCTGGCAGCTGCTGCAGGACTCGGAGAAGATCCCGTTCGTGCGGGAGGCGGAGCGGCTGCGCCTGAAGCACATGGCGGATTACCCGGACTACAAGTACCGGCCGCGCAAAAAGAGCAAGGGGGCGCCCGCCAAGGCGCGGCCCCGCCCCCCCGGCGGTGGCGGTGGCGGCAGCCGGCTCAAGCCCGGGCCGCAGCTGCCGGGCCGCGGGGGCCGCCGAGCAGCGGGAGGGCCTTTGGGGGGCGGCGCGGCGGCGCCCGAAGACGACGAGGACGACGACGACGAGGAGCTGTTGGAAGTGCGCCTGGTAGAGACCCCGGGGCGGGAGCTATGGAGGATGGTCCCAGCGGGACGGGCCGCCCGGGGACAAGCGGAGCGTGCCCAAGGGCCGTCGGGCGAAGGGGCGGCCGCCACCGCCGCTTCCCCGACACCGTCGGAGGACGAGGAGCCGGAGGAAGAGGAGGAGGAGGCGGCAGCGGCAGAGGAAGGCGAAGAGGAGACGGTGGCGTCAGGGGAGGAGCCGCTGGGCTTTCTGTCCAGGCTGCCCCCGGGCCCCGCCGGCCTGGACTGCAGCGCCCTGGACCGCGACCCGGACCTGCCGCCCCCATCGGGCACGTCGCACTTCGAGTTCCCGGACTACTGCACCCCCGAGGTTACCGAGATGATCGCAGGGGACTGGCGCCCGTCTAGCATCGCCGACCTGGTTTTCACCTACTGAGCCCACCGTCAGCGGGGCGCGCACGCCCCCAAACCAGCTGTTTACATACAGGAATCAGGTATTGGGGCCCCTCGGAGGCCGAGGCTGGCACCCCATCTCCCGCGCAGCCTCCCCCCTCCTGGACGTGCCCATCCCCCCCACAAATCCAGACATACCCCTCCCCCGCAGACACACCCCAAGGCGGCCCAACCCCCACCCCTTCCTTGACATCCAAGCCCCTCCCCACATTGCCCCCTCCCGCACAGCCACCAGCAGCCAGCCCCCCTCCGATACACCTCCCATTTTCTCCTACAGACCTGCACCCCTCCCCCACTTTGCACACGCCCCTCCTCGTGGCCGGAGGACACGCCCCCTCCCTTGCTCCTGAATCCCTCCCTCGCCCAGCCTGCCTTCTCGGTTAGGGGGGCGATGCGTCTGGGCTGCACCGCGCGCTCCTCCCTTGCCCCGCCCCACGGGGGGGGAGGGGCGCGCTCTTTTATCCCCAGAGCGTTAGGGCCCGCCCCCCCGCTGGGACCCACCCTCTTCTTGCGCATGCTTAATACTCCTTGGGAGGAGGGGGCTGGTGCCAGTCCAGCTTCACGTCTCTGCCTCCTGCTCCGGGAAGAAGGGGGGCAAGTGTAGAACGATCCTGAGAAATCCTTTGATCTGAAAGCCCATGGCTTCCTCTCAACCCGACGGGGCGTCACTGCCTTAATGGGAGGAGCACTTGGAAATAGGAGAAAAAGACTAGGTGGCTTGGAAGCGTTGGTTTGGGCCTGGAACTCTCCCAAGTGGCATAGCCCCGTTTCCCTTATGGGGTCGCCCACACCCACGCGTACCGCCTCCCCGACTGCGTGACTGCCTCTACAGCCTATCTTGGTCCCCAGGAACGTCCCTTCCTTTCCCCCAACTGGGAATTGGGGGTAGGGTCTTTCTCTGGAATTACGTCAGTAGAGGAAGGGGCTGTCCAAGAAAACTCAGAACCAAGATACCTTACCGTTCTGTTTGGGGACAGGGTCTCTGCTGCTCCCTTCCCCCTGGAAGTGCCCTGTCACCTCAAGGCACCTTCTCAACTTGGGCCTCTGTCAAACCCAAGTCCACCCTCATTCAGTATTCAGCGGGACGAACTGAGGTACGTCGGTGCTAAGGGTTTGGGATTGAGGCATGATAGCAGATGGGGTGGCAGGAAGAGTCCGTTGATCGGGCCAGTGAGACTGATGGGCCATTTGCGCCTCAGTTTTTCCATGTGAGAAACGGGCACAGCGCTGCTGTAAGGAGAAAGTTCTGTCCAGTTCAGGGTGCCCTCGGGGACCCGCCCCTGATGCTGTTACCCCTCTTACTGCATCTCCCTACTCGAGACCCGCCCCTCCGGCCTCCCCACACCCCCTTTGCCCTCACTACCTGTATCTCACCGGCGTGTGTTCACCCTCCCGGGTGGTCCACACACTCTCATTCACATACACAAATCTCAGGAACAAACGGTCCCCAGAGTCCTCCGGGACCCCTGCCCAGGGTCTCTGCAGGTCTCTGCCCCACGCGTTCCCGTCGCTGACAAAGCCACCAGCTGCCTCCTTTAAGCTTGGTGCTCCGGCTCTGGGCCTTTCTTGCGCTCTTTCTTTCTTTTTTTTTTTTTTTTTTTTTTTTTTTTTTAAGAAAAACAACAACAAAAAGACAATGAAAAAAACAGAAAACGTCATGTGAGTGAAGAGATGTCACTGTCCGTGGTCTTGGAGAATTAGTCTCGTAGCTAAGGGGAGGGGTTCCTCCGTCTGGGGCACTGGCACCCACAGCAGGACTTTTGCCAGTCTGATGCCAGGACTGAATAAAGTGTATTTGCCCCGACCTCGCCCTGTGGTTCTGCATGTCTGTGCTTTTCCTCAACCCTCTCCAAACAGTTTGCCAGGTCCAAGTCCATGTGATTTAGGCCCAAGCTGTCCCAGGGTAAGCCACCTGGCCACTCTAGGCCTCTGTCTCAGGACTCCCTGACCTTCATTACGGACAGCAAACTCATCCCTGTAGGGGCCAGAAATGAGTAAGTAAGTCTGAGTGGACGCTGGCATGATGACCCAATGTCCAAGGCTGGCAACTGCCCACCTCCTGCCAGTTGTGACCCTGTGGGAATGTGGTCCACAGTGGCCAGACTGCCAGATTTTTCAAGAGAAGCTAGAGATATGAGTGTTTCTTGAGTCATCTGAATTTCAAAATGACAGCTGACTCAAATATTTTTAAATCGTGGGCCACATGAAACAAATGTGCAGGCAGGTCTAGTCCAAGGGGGCCAGCTTGACCCTGCCCTCGATGAGGATTAAGAAGCAGGGTTGAGCCATGCTGGGCTCAAAGCGCAGCTCCACCACTGAGCACCTGTGTGACCTTGAGCAAATTAACTTTGTCCCACCTCTTCTTTCCATATGTGTTAACATGGGGATGACAGTACCTCCTTCAGAGGATAAAATGTTTGAGGTGAGAAGCATTTAAGGTGGTGCTCCATAGATCTTATCACTCTTGTCCAGAGGAAGAAACTGGGCCAGGTGGGGAAGCGACTCGCAGGAGGACCTGCAAGCGGCCAAGGTCAGAGACAGGGCCCAGAATCTTGGTTCTGCCTTCTGCTGCTGCAGTGTTACTTCAGGGTGCTGCCTCTCTGTTTGAATCTGCAGGTGGTGCTAGGCCTGGCTTGGTGGGGTTGGCCCCAGTGCCTGGCACACAGTGACATGCAGTGTAGATTTATTAAATGACCAAAGAGCAGCAGCAGCCTGTCTTTGGAGTTCTGACCAGTGCGTTTTGGAAACTGAGACCAAGGCTTTCCCCTCCTTTGTCCCTCTGATACCCCTCCTCCTAATTCTTCCTTTGCCAGATCCAGTGAATTCCTAAGCTTGGGACAAAGCCTCTTTTCCCAGTAAGAGCCAAGGCTGAGTGTGGGAATTACAGTGACAGCTTGGTTGGAAGCAAGCAGGCAAAAAAAAAAAAAAAAAAACTACAAGAAGAGGTATAGTTGAGAAGGTGTGAAAGACAGGGCTATGTGCCCTGGGCTAAGCCCCTTTAAGGAAGGACTTCCCCAGCTGTGGCAAGTGTGGTCAGGGCCGGCCTTAGCTGCAGAGAGCCACTTCGCCCGAGACCACGCCCTTCCCCCCCTCCCCTGCCCCCGCAGCCTGCATCTGGTGTCTGAGCGAGGCATGGTAGAAACACCTCTCCTCGGCAGTCCAAAGTGGGACACTGACAGGCAGTACTTGCACCGGGTCCCCAACCCTTCCCAGGGCAGCCAGGGCTTTGTCAGGCCTGCCACACGGTTTGCCTTCTTCCTGTGCCCAATCCTGCTTCTTTTTTTCACAGGTATTCATCCCTAATAAACATCTTGCAACCCAAACTCAGTCTCCGTGTCTGCTTCTGGAGGAGGAGTCTTGTCTGCAGTGGAGGGTGCAAGGGCTGGGACAAAGGGAATGGGGTCACTGGCCCAGCTACTGCAGCTAGGCCCCTCCCCTTGCTATCCCCCCATCTCGGGAGTCTCTTCCCTTCACCAGCACCTACCTCGGCTCGGCTGCACCCTGTCCAAGTCTATACCCATCAGCATTATTTAGAAACTCCAGCCTCAGCCCACAAGTCCCTCCAGAGCTCTCTGCTGATGCCATTCTCATAGTCCCTCCCCTGGGAAAGGCGGGAGGAAGGGAGGGAGGGAGGAGGTGATCATCTGAATTTGTCCTTCAGAATGGCCTGGGAGGGAGACAGAGCAAGGGGAGGGCAAAAATGCCTGACCCGGATGGTGCTGGAGCTGTGGGACCTTGAGCAAGGCTCTCCCCCTTTGCCGGCCTTAGTTGCCCCTTGTGTAAAGTAGGGGAATGGGCAAGAGGACCGCAAGAGAGACCGTCTCCTTTTGGTTTCTCCCATTTCAGATGCTGCCCTGAAAGGTGGGGGGATGCCTGCTTATGGGGGCTCTGGGGACACCTAGTGGCTGGGAAGCGTATAATGCAAGTTCTGTGCGGTTGGGGGTGGGAGTCAGGGTGTGTCTCACTCTGAGGAACTGACGCCCCTCCAGTCTCGCTCCATTCATGTAGCATTGACTCTGCTGGGTCATGTCCCTTGCCTGGGTGACTTGAACCATCTTGGTTACAAAGCTTTAAAAACAGCCACCCACTGATACATTGGTTATCTTCTATCCTGCACAACAAATTGCCACAAACTTAGCAGCTTCAGACAACATGCATTTATTATCCCAGTCTCCACGGGTCAGGAGTCCTGGCGTGCCTTAGCTGGGTCTCTGCTCAGGATCTCACGAGGCAGCAACCAAGGTGTTGGCCGGCTTGCATTCCTTTTTGGAGCTCAGCATCCTTTCCCAAACTCATGTATTTGTGGGCAGAATTCAGTTCCTTGTGATTACAGGATGGAGGTAGGTCCCTGTTCTCTTGCTGGCTGTTAGTTGGTGCCACTCCAGATTTCTAAGAGCTGCTCACAGTTTCTTTCCACATGGCCCCTGCATGACTTCCCTAGTCCTCACACAACATTGTAACTTATTTTGTCAAGATCTGCAAGAGGACCTTTCTGCTGCTTGGAGTCACTTGGCTCAGGGAAGGTTTAAGCTCTCTTTTTAAAAGGCACCCCTAATGAAGTCAGGCACACCCAGCAAAATCTCCCTTTTGATTAAAAATCAACTAATTTGGGACCTTAAAGTATATCTGCAAAAATCCTTTCACCTTTGCCATATATTGTAGCCTAATCATAAGAGTAACAAGCATCACACTAGCCTCCCCCACACTCCAGGGGAGGTTACACAAGGCACGTGCACCAGGGACTGGAAATCTCGAGGCCATCTTAGAATTCTGCTTTATTGCAGCTAAGATTCTCAGGTCTCCGTCTCCGGCCTTGACATTGCCAGATGAGCTGCCTTCTTGTCATCTCCACTGGATATCTAATAGGCGCCTCAAACTTGACAGGTCAGAAAATGAATTCTTTTTTTCTTTTTTTTTTTTTTTTGAGATGGTGTCCAGGCTGGTCTTGAACTCTTGGGCTCAAGAGGTCCTCTCACCTTAGCC